CCTCCTTCTCCACTATTGTCTGTTTTTGCTGTAGGTGGGGTCCCCCTCAGTTTAAACAGACAATAGTGGAGAAGGAGGTTTTCACCTCAATTAAAACCCATTTTCCCCTCAAACCCCTCATTTTCTGGGGTCACTGGAATGCACTGGGGAGGGATTGGGAAGATGAAATCAAAAGGCAGAATGAGAACAATCTTCCCTGCGCCCCCACTCTGCCCCACCTGCTCGGGTGCTGCTCCCCCTCCTGTGCTGCCCCTCAGCACAGGGCTCAGCCCCCAGCCCCTTCCCTGGGCAATGCTCCATGTTCAGGAGCATCTGGGCGCTTCCCCAGGGCTGCGAGAGGCTCTCAGCACCCCTCCTTGAGAGACCCTAATGCTCCACTGCTCCCCCCCAGCAGCTCCCTGTGGAACGTGGGCCCAGGTGATCCCCAGGAGCTGCCCAGCAGGGCCCACCCCTCCTCAGCCATGAAGTCAGCTGAATTTCAGGGATCACCTCCTCCAAGCTTGGGAGCAATGCATCCCAACAGTGAGGAAACGGGGCAGAAATGCCATGAGGCTTCCATGGATGGATAAGGAGTTGCTGAGCAAACTCAGAGCAAAAGAAGCAGCTTTCAGGAAGTGGAAATGAGGACTGGTGGCTTGGGAGGAATACAGGGAAACTGTAAGAGAAGCTAGGGACGAGGTTAGGGAAGCCAAGGCCCATTAGAATTGAGTCTGGCCAAGGATATTAAGGATAACAGGAAGGGATTCTATAGATATGTTGCAAGCAAGACAAGGGATAATATGGGTCCTTACCAGAAGGAAACAAGAGACCTGGCTACCCTGGACAAAGAGAAGGCTGAGGTTCTCAACAACTTCTATGCCTCAGTCTTCAACACCAAGTGCTGCAGCCACACTGCCCAAGTCAGGAAAGGCAAATGCAGGGGTTGAGAGAATGAGGACCCTGAGCCCCCTGTAGGAGAGGATAAGGTTTGAGACCATCTAAGGAACCTGAATGTAAACAAGTCCATGGGACCAAACAAAATCCATCCATAGGTCCTGAGGGAATTGGCAGACAAAGTTGCTAAGCTACTATCCATCATTTCTGAAAAATTGTGGCAGTTACATGAAGTCCCTGATGACTTGAAAAAGGGAAATATAACTCCCATTTTAAAAAGGGGAAAGCAGAAGACCCAGGGAACAACAGACCAGTCAGTGTTACCTCTGCACCAAGCAAGATCATGGAGCAGATTCTCTTGAAAACTATGATAAGGCATATGGAAAACAAAGAGATGATTGGAAACAGCCAACGTGGCTTTATAAAGGCAAAATCATGTTTGACAAAACTAGTGATTTTCTATGATGGTGCTACAGCATTGGTGGGTGGGGAAGAGGAGGGGACCCTCAGTCAGTTTGCAGAGGACAGGTTGGGTGAGAGTGTGTGTCTGCTACAGGACAGGAGGGCTCTACAGGGGGATCTGGAGAGGGACAGGGATTGGGCTGTCCAGGTGGATCCTGAAGCACCCCATTCCTCCACCCCTCCCTGACTACTCATGATTACTACGCCCTTTTCTCCTCTGGGTCCAGCGCCGCCACCACCACTGGGACCTCAGACGGACGCAGAAGCCCCGGCGGCGCTGAGCAAAACGTGTCTGCGAGGCTTCCAGGTATCTCTGGAGCCAGGCACGGAGCTTCCCCAGGAACCATCCAGTGGTGGTGCTGCTGTATTGCACCTCCATGGAGCTGCTGCTGCTGCTGCTGCTGCTGCTTTCCAACACCGTGGGATTTACAATGACCACTAGTCTAGGGAGCAGCCTGGCCATCAGCACGGATCTTCTGCGTTGCAGTGTCATGTAGTCCCTGCTGCACTGTCCTGTGTTCTTACGTTTGGCTTCTTCTGTCCCCTCATTCATGTCCGGCCCTGGCAGCTCCACTGCCAGGCACTGGGGAGACTCTCTGCCCCCCAGCAGTCCCGGCAGCTCCACTGGCACCTCGGTCTGGAGCACCCTGCAGTCCCCTCCTCTGTACTGCTGCTGGGCCAGCTGTGCCTTCAGCTCACTGTGCTGCTCCTCAATGAGCGCTGGAGAGTCCTGGGAGCTTTGGATGAACCTTGGGAAATGCTTCCTGTAGCTCATGGAACTTCGTTGGGAGCTGCCAGGGGACGTGTCTGCCGATTCCTGCGCCCTGTCCACACTGCTCTGCTCCTCCGGCTGGGCTCTCGCTGCCCTTGGACACCTCCAGTTCTGCAGGATCCTCTGCAGGAACCACAGATGGCTGAGACAGGAGCAGCTCCTGGGCCCACCCCACAGCCCCCCCCGATGCCCCACATGCCACCCCAGCCCACCCCAAACCAACCCAGCCCACAGAGCGGTGCAGAGGCACCTACCCAGAGACGCTTGTCCCGCAGCACGACAGCGACCAGGATGAGCTGCAGCACCAGGATCATGACTGCAACCAGCTCCCCCATGGTGAACATGTCGAGGGACCTCATGGCACCATCCCTGCCACTCCAGGTCACCAGCACAGGCTGGGGATGAGCTTCCCCAGTGACCTGCGGGGTCCCAGTGATGGGATCCCAACACTGCTGGGGTGGCAGAGGCTGAGGTGGTGCCCACCTGCAGTGCCCCGTGTCCTGGGGCCTGTTATAGCCCTTTGTGACATCATGGGGCAGGCAGAGCCCCCTTTGTGACATCACAGGACAGGCAGGGCCCCTTTTATGACATCATGGGGCAGGAAGAGCCCCCTTTGTGACATCACAGGACAGGCAGGGCCCCCTTTGTGACACTGGGAGTTCCCAGGAGCCCCAGGGAGAGCCCTCGCTGCCTCAGGCACGTGACTGTGCATTCCAGGTTGTCCTGCTCAAACCGTTGGGATTCCTAAGGTCAGTTGGGTCGTAACAATTCCATTTGACATCACGAATCTCTTTTCAGCTGTTGTTGGATCTGTAACTGCTGGGTTTTTAACTGGTTCATCAAATAAATCTCTTTTGAATAGGTGGTTTATTTCAATTTCAGGAGCCTCCGTGACACGAGGGCAGTGATCATCCCCCTGGGCCGGGCACGGTGAGGTCGGACCTCAAATCTTGGGGTCAGTTTTGGGCCCCACACGACAATAAAGACATTGAGGTGCTGGAGTATGTCTGGAGAAGGGCAATGGAGCTGAAGAAGGGTTTTGTGCTTTAACCCCACCTGCCAATTCAGTAAGGAAAAAAAAAAGGGAGAAAGAAACTCATAAGGTGAGACAATTTAGTAACTAGAAAAAAACGCTGAACATATTGGAAGAGAGAAAACAAACAAGGTGAGAAGAAAAACAAAGCAAATGTGAACAATTTCTCTGCACCCAACAAATGATGTGCAGTCAGTCAGAGAATCATCATGGAATCACAGGATTGGGTTGCAAGGGACCTTGAAGATCATCAAATACCACTTCACTATTATAGGCAGGGAACCTCCCACTGGACCAGGTTGCTCCAAGCCCTGTCCAACCTGGCTTTAGACACTTCCAGGGATGGGGCAGCGACAGTTTCTCTGGGCAACCTGTGCCAGGGCCTCCTCACAGGGAAGGATTCCTTCCCAATATCCCATCTAACCCTGCCCTCTGTCAGTGGGAAGCCATTCCCCCCTTGTCCTGCCCCTCCACCCCTTGTCCCCAGTCCCTCTCCAGCTCTCCTGGAGCCCCTTTAGGCACTGGAAGGGGCTCTGAGGTCTTCCCAGAGCCTTCTCTTCTCCAGGTGAACACTCCCAGCTCTCCCAGCCTGACTCCAGAGCAGAGAGGCTCCAGCACTTGGAGCATCTCCATGGCCTCCTCTGGACTTGCTCCAGCAGCTCCACATCCTGAAGGACTGGATGCCATCCAGATGGACCTGAACAAGCTCAAGAAGTGGGCCCATGGGTGTGGAAAGTATTACAGAAATGTGGTTGATAGAAAGAGGACATGAAAAAGATGCTATAGCTCTGGTGCCACGGTAAAGGGAATCTATTGGAAGGTCACTGTATCTGTGTACGTGACAGAAGAATAGAATAAAGCGGATGGGAAAGCAGAGCAAATAGCAAATAAGTAACCATAAGAATGTGAAAGAAACAGCATTTGCGCAAATATAACTTAGGTAATCAGAAGCCAATGATGAGCTAGAGCTTGTAATATGCATGAGGCTAATTATTAACCTTTATAAGCACAAAGCCTGCAGCAATAAAGTTGGATAAGCCATGATCAATTCTGTGGTCGTGTGTTCTTATCCCGTCGTCTACAACAAATGGTGACCCCGACCTTGAAGACAACCCATGGGAGTCCCATTAAGTTCAATAAAGCCAAGTGCTGGTGCTGCACCTGGGTCAGGGCAACCCCAAATATTAATCCAGGTTGGGGGATAAACACATTGAGAGCAGTCCTGGGAGAAGGATCTGGGGATGCTGGTGGGGGAGAGGCTGGACATGGCCCAGTCCAAAAACTCCTGTGTGCTCGGCTAATCCCACAGCGTGGGCAGCAGGGCAGGGAGGGATTCTGCCCCTCTGTCCCCTCGGGTGAGACCTCACCTGCAGAGCTGCCTCCAGCCTTGAGGAATCAGCACAGGAAGGACATCACCTTGTTGGACCAAGTCCAGATGTGGCTGAAGCACCTCAGCTATGAGGAAAGGCTGAGAGAACTGGGATTGTTCAGCCTGGAGAAGGGTTTGGGGTGACCTAACTGCAGCCTTCCAGTACCTGAAGGGAGCCTACAAGAAAGATGGAGAGGGACGATTTCCAAGGACCTGGAGGGAAAGGACAAGAGGGAATGGCTTCCCACTGACAGAGGGCAGGGTTAGATGGGATATTGGGAAGGATTTCTTCCCTGTGAGGGTGGTGAGGCCCTGGTGCAGGTTGCCCACAGAAACTGTCGCTGCCCCATCCCTGGAAGTGTCCAAGGCCAGGGTGGACAGGGCTTGGAGCAACCTGGTCTAGTGGAAAGTGTCCCTGCCCATGTAAGGGGTGTGGAACTGGATGATCTGCCTTGCAACCCAAACCATTCTATGGTTCTATGAATTCAGGTTAGACTTCGTTCAGATTTTGAACAAAGTCTGACCCTCACTTCACCTCTAAGACCCTCTGCTGCAGCTGCTTCTCAGGCACTTTATTTATAGTAATAGGAAGAGTTGTACAAAAGCAAAGGCCAGTGAGCTGTGAGCCCCTTTCTGTAAACTGTCCCTCCTGATCCCACCTTCACAAATGCATTCTGGATACAAAGCCCTTGTGGAAATCTTGGACCTCTGAGTGAATAGATGTCTCCCCACAGTGCAGCAGCACAGTTCAGCCCTGCTTGGTCCCAGTCAGTGACTGGTCAGGATGCTGCTGAGGCTCAGTGAGACAGGCTCTGGGTTCAGGTGTGTCCCAAAGGAGAAGCAGTTACCACCACCACCAATAACCAACAACTCCTTCTCATTTGGCAGAAAGACACTGCTATGATTATGTAGCATTAATGGCCACTCCAGATGCTCCTGAAAAAGGAAAGAAGATTTTCAATATACAAGACTTCACACGGTTCACCGTATCACCCATGAATGTGGGCAAAAAGAGATAGATTGAGAATACAGGAACAAGGAACCCATGAGGTATAATCCTCCAGTACACCCACCCACCCCCCAATTTGCAGTTCAGTGCTTTTGATGGGAGAGAATGTCTTGGTAATCCTTGAACCCTAATGCTTTCCGAAAAGGGTGACACCAGTCACTTTTTGATTCAATGGAAACCTTTAGCATTCCTGGCCTGTGGCAAGGAGTTCCAAAGCTTACTATGTAACTGATAGGTTCAAAAGCCTGAAGAGTTTCACCAAAGCCAAAGCAAACAGCTCATAAGCAAAGGCAGCTACCAATCCACCTGCATCCACTTATTCAACGTAAACAAAAAAGTTATATTCTTTTAGATACAACTTTATTACCACCCTACCCACCCTCACTGCTGTCCAAGGGCAGCCTATTTTATCTAAAGGATATGAGGCCCCTTACAACTTCTGCTACAGACAGTAACTAAAAACTAAGCTGCATTTAAGCATGCTTCATGCTTTATGCCTCCAAGAACATGCCGTAAGGTCAGTCAGATGCACACATACTGTCCACTGTGACCTGTCACAAATTCCAGTTTCACCAAGGACAGGTTCCATATGTACAGCTATCTAAAGACAGTTGTTTCTTTATGTAAAAGAAATAACTTATCAAGCAACAGAAGTTTTCTTATAGAATTACAGAATGATTTGGGACGGAAGGGACCTTTAAAGGCCATCTCTTTCCACCCCCCTGCCATGGACATGGACACCTTCCACTATCCCAGGTTGCTCCAAGCCCTGTCCAACATGGCCTTGGACACTTCCAGGGATGTGGCAGCCACAGCTTCTCTGGGCAACCTGGGCCAGGGCTTCACCACACTCTTTGTAAAAAACTTCTTCCTTATACCTAGTTTAAAGCTACTGTCCCTTAGATGAAAACTATCACCTCTTGTCCTATCACTACAGGCCCAGCTAAAAAGTCTGTCCCCATCTTTCTCATAAGTCCCCTTTAGGCACTGGAAGGGCCTCTAAGGTCTCCCCAGAGCCCTCTTCCTCCAGGCTGAACCGCCCCAACTCTCTCAGCATATCCTCACAGGAAACATGCTCCAGCTCTCTGATCATCTTTGTGGCCCTGCTCTGGACTCACTCCAACAGATCCATGTCTTTCTTTTACTCCAGACAGTATTATCTGAGATGAGGGCTACTCACACGTGCAGACCAAGTTTTGGTCGGAGTGTGCCAAAATCCTGCTATGTGACACCACCTGTATGACTGTTCTTCAGTGATTCGTAGAAGAAAGTCACAGAACAGTTAAAGCTGGAAGGGACCTGTGAGCATCATCCAGTCCAACCAGCCCTTTTCAAAGCAGGCTCCACTACAGCAGGTTGCTCAGTACCCTGCCCAGTCAGGTTTTGAATATCTCCAATAATGGAGACACCACAGCCTCTCTGTTCAGTGTTCAATGAGCCTTACAGTAAACTTTTCTTATGTTTCAGTGGAGTTTCCAGTATTTCCATGCTGTTTTTTCTTGTATTCCAGGGAGCAGCTATAACACACTGCAGTTTCCACCAAGAAGTTCTCAATGCAATTATACCACAGACCTCCATAAAGACTCACTGAGGCTCTGGTTTGATCTGTTCCCTTCCTCCACAGGTATCCCAAAGGGACTAGATTTGTGCCCATTTCAGTTCTACTGCCCCTGTCTAGAACAGAGCAGCTTTATGTCCTCCAGTCTTCTGCCATGCAGTGTCTGTCTCTCTCTTAATACTGTTATGTTCTCTGTACTGGTAAAAGCGCTTCAAAATCAGATTCTACCTCGAACAGGGAATGTTTATTCCACTCCCAGCTTTGCCGACTTTGCTTTCTCTATTCAGTTTCAAGGAACAGCTCTAAAGTTATCATCTTCCTTCATACTACATTGAAAGAAAAATTTCAGTACTTACCACATTAATCACATAGTCCAAGCAGAGGCCAGTCACTAAGTCAATGACAGTGATGCCTGGCACGGAGGATGCGTGAAACCACACTCCGCCAACGAGCAGAAGCTTTCCTTCGTGCACATGTGCAGTATGTGAATACCTGTGAGTTCAAAATGAGATTGAACCCCATTAGTAAGGGAGGTTGGTAGAGACAGGCTGAAGATTCACTGATGAATGCTCTAAGCACCCTGGTCTAGTTGAAGATGTCCCGGCTCATTGCAGGGAGGTTGGACTAGATGGCCTTTAAAAGGTGCCTTCCAAATAAAACTATTCTATAATGTTATGAACACATTCTGCTCACCTTGGGATGAGAGGAGGGTATGTCTCTACTGCCTGCCACTGAAAGCCATGTTCAAGCTTCCTCAGAAGGAAAACTGAACCCAAGGGCTGCTCAGCTGCTCCCAGACCTCCTGCGATGAGCGCTCCTCCTTCCCAGCTGCAGGCACTGTGAGAGTGGCGGCTTTCTGGGACTGGACCGTCAACAGCAATCTAGAAAAACACAAGTCCAAGGCTGCAGTTTGCCAAGCTAAGTGTCTTCTTAATGCCCAGGCTTTTAAATGACTTTTTCCTCTGTGGTTGAGTTTTCTGACACCCAACCTTATCCACACGTTCCTCTAGAGACTGCTAAATACAAGTGCTTCCAATTATACTATCTCAAATATTTCTCTGGGCCTCAGTATATTTAATATAATCAGTCTTTAGAGGGTTTATTTCTGCACATTTATTACAGGTAACTTTATTTGCATTCTTGCATGCTGCTTTCTGCTCAAGAGATACACCTGAGAACCCTGAGTTTGTTTCCATTTCCATAGTCCACATGGACTATGGCAGTGACCAGCAAAGCAGGTGATCAGTGGCTCAAACCAGAGAGCAGGATAGCAGGCTGAACTGCAGGACTAAAACGCAGAAAAAAACCCCTTCAGTGCAAGTACTAAAGGAAAAAATGTAAGATCAGGTGTTTAAAGAAATATCATAGCAAGCAAGCGGTGGAGAAAAATTCGGAGGCCACCTTGTCCATCCCTTTCCCCTAAAATAAATGAAACTATATCTATTATCATCTGCATAGATGTTTATATAATAGCTTCTGAAAGTCTGCAGTGACAAGAATTTATCGCCTCTTTAGGCAGTCTGTTGCAGCACTTGGCTAGCCTAACTCCACAATCAATAGCTTATCTTAGTGTCCAGTTGATTCCCTGCACTACTCAAAGTAAAAATGGAGAGCAAATTTTTTGTCTTCTCTGCAGTGATATTTTACATATTTGAAGATTTATTTCTATCTTGAATCTTCTCCAGACTCAACAGCTACAAGTCCTTCAAAACCTTCCCTTGTGAGGTGTGTGATTACTCTTGTATACCTCTGTACAGCTGTACCGCACCCTGTCCAGCTCTTTTTCAGCAATCAGCTTTGGGTATTTTACAAGAATTCTGCTGGGAACATTGAAGAAAATAAAAGGAGCAATTCATGTGGCTTACAGATAACAGTCCTGGTTACATATTTGAAGACAGAGTTTAGGCCTCCCACAACACCATGATACTGCTTATTCATGTTTAGCTCGTGAGCTCCTACAGTTATGCAGCTCTCACCCTATGACTGTGCTACGTCAAAGGTTGGGCTCAAACACTTGGAGTAAATGGGGTTATATCAGGCTGGTGGCCAGTCACCAGTAGGTTCATGAGAGGGGAAGTCCTCTAACTCAATTTCCTTTTATGACACGTTAGCAATCTAGTTGACTGAGGGAAGACAGCAGATGTGGGAGTGGTTTTGATTTTAGCAAAGCCTTTTATACTGTCTCTAACAGTATTCTTCTGCAAAAACGTCCAGCATACAGCTAGATAAGTCCACGATGCGAGAGGTCAAAGAAGACAGAGACAGAATGTTCTCAGTAGCATCCAGCAACAGGACAAAAGGCCATGGGCACAAACTGGCATACAAAGAAATCCACTTAAATATAAACCCCCTCACATTGTACTATCAGGGTCATCAAGGACTGTCTGTGAAGATTGTATTCCAGTAAAAAGCAGGATGTTTAGAAGTCAGCTCTAACTTGAATCACCATGGAGTACATTCTTACCACAGTGTTGGAGAGTTCTTGAGTGTGCAGGAAATACCAATCCCCAAGCACAGGCTCCAGAGCAGAGCGGCCCCCATACACAAACAGGTACTGTTCACCTACAGAAACAGACAACCAGGTGAAAAGGGAAGTTAGAATTTGGTATGTCACCAAAGCAAAAATTTCTGTCTACATAGAAGGGAAGCTGACTGAAGACAGAAATTAAGGCAGTCAGGCAGAAGCTCTATATACTATTTCTAGAAGACATCCTGCAACCTGATAAACAACTCCAGACTTCATCAATAAATACAAGAAATTGTTTCACAGATACTGGAACTACTCTTGTACCTAGATCTTCTATAAGACACATGGAATCACAGATTCACAGAATATGCTGAGTTGGAAGGAAGCCATAAGGATCATCAAGTCCCACCCTTAGCCCTGCACATGACCATCCTGAACACTCTAAGAACCTGCACTCTTCATGTTTGTGGTCATTCAGAAGATCACATCACCCACTTACATTATGTAGTTGCTGAATGGTTACAGTCTGGAATGTTTAAGGAACGGAAATCACACACTCTAGTCTCAAAATGAAGAGGGGAAAACATGCTTTCCCATATACCCTAATAGACTTAGGGAATGGAACTCTAGGCAATGGAAAAATGACTCCTGTAGAACTAATAAAACTAGAAAACACTAAGTATCTAAATCACAGCAGCTCAAGGACATCTATTCATCTCAGGAAAACTGATAATAACATGAACGTGTATTTGTTAATATGGAGAAGCCTCAAAAAGGAGGTTAAAAAGGGTGCAAGCATCTTTGGATAGATGTCAAGGACGTGCATTCACTGCACTATGCCCTGTCCTTTCACTCCTTGAGAATGGACTGTGTCGACAACACCAGGGTTGGTCACTTCCTTCAGCTACAAAGCAACATCAAGGCAAAAATAAGATGAAACAATACAGTCTGACAAAGACAAAAAACAATGTAATATTTATGAAATTTTACTTACCCATTTCACATTTGCTTCTTTGATACAAAATTCTGACTGAAAGGCTGAGGTCTAAACTACATTACACTTTTAACTAAACATTGCTCCACAAATGGAAAGTATGCTCCAGACTAGACTACCAGTTGCTTAACAGTTCCCTTCTGCTCCCCTTGGAGAGCTCCCTGTCCACTGGCAGGAATGGGACAGCTTAGGAAAGGACAGCTTTCACCTCCTGAATGCTTAAGTTTTTGCCCCTTACAGTCAGGATCTTTTACTAGGCCAACCTTCAGCTTGCTACTGCAGGACCTGATTCTAGAGCCATTCACAACTACTTTGTCAATTCCTAGTAGAAAAGTAACACTTCTGAGGCACTTCTGGATAAAGAGCTAGGAATTCTGCTCCAAAAAAATATCCTTTGGAGATAGCAAAACTTCCTTCTGGTGTGATCAAGAATGAATAACTTCAGCAATAAATGATCTCAAAGAATCAGTCTTCCAGAACAGATTACATCCCTAGGTTTCAATTCCACTTACCACTGGGGGTTATGTAGCATACGAAATATAAAATTACCGCATTTCAAGTGCCAAGATCTCAGAGCCTCTTTTAATTTCTTTCCTACTGGCAGGCTTGAGAAGTGGGTCAATATGAAGTTCAACAAGACTGAGTAAAAGGTCCTGCATATCTATGGCCATTTCCACTCTTTCCAGGCTTTTTACCTTTGAATGTCACTTCAGTTGTGCTGTGTCTCCAACGCAAAGTTGCTGGTTCAGCAGCAGGCTGCAGATTTACAAGCTCCACTGCAATGTCATCTGGGTCTGAAGCATTATAGGTTTCGGGGAACTTTAGCCACAACATTCCCAAACCTGCATTTGATGGGGACATTCGTCCTCCTACCACCAGGGCCAGACTGTCTGAGAGACAGGACACAGTGTGGTACAACCGCTCACCTGCAGAGACACAAAACGCCACGGTTCACACGGGGGTTTTTTCCAAGAAATTTACAGAGTCACTTAGGTTGGAAAAGATCATAGTCCAACCATTCCCCCAGCAATGTCAAGGTCACAACTAAACTATGACCCCAAGTGCCACATCCACACAGCTTTTAAATCCTTCCAGGGACGTGGACACCACCACTGCCCTGGGCAGCCTGTGCCAGGCGTGGACAACCCTTTCCTTGGAGACATTTTTCTCCATATGCAACCTGAGCTTCCCCTGGCACAGCTTGAGGCTGTTTCCTCTTGTCCTGTCCCTTGTTCCCTGGGTGCAGAGCCTGATCACCCCCCAGCTCCCCCCTCCTGTCAGGGAGTTGCAGAGAGTGAGAAGGTCCCCCCTGAGCCTCCTTTTCTCCAGGTTGAGTCCCCCCAGCTCCCTCAGCTGTTGCTACGTTGGGATTACAGGAGTGGTGGATGAGGGAAGGGCAACAGACACCATCTACCTGGACTTGTACAAAGCATTTGACACTGCTCGAGCACAACGTCCGGTCTCTAAACTGGAGAGACATGGATTTGACAGATGGACTACTTGGTAGTTTTGGAATTAGCTGGATGGTCTCACTCAGAGAGTCACAGTCAGCATCTCAGTGTTCAAGTGCAGACCAGCGGTGAGTGGTGTCCCTTAGGGGTCACTACTGGCACCAGTACTGTTTGACATCTTTGCTGGTGACAGGGACAATGAAATTAAGGGCACTCCCAGCATGCTTGCCGATGACATGGAGCTGTGTGGTGCAGACACAGGCTGAAGGGAAGGGACGGGGCATCCCGAGGGACCTAAACAGGCTGGAGAGGCGGGACTGTGCCAATGTCATGGAGTTCAACAAGGCCAAGTGCAAGGTCCTGCCCTTGAGTCAGGGCAATCCCAGTACAAATACAGGCTGGGCAGAGAACATATTGAGTGCAGCCCTGGGGAGAAGTATTTGGGGGTGTTTGTGAACAAAAAGCTCAGTATGACTTGGCAGTGCGCGTTTGTAGCCCAGAAAAACCAACCATGTCCCAGGCTGCATCAAAAGAAGCGTGGGCAGCAGGTTGAGGAAGGTGATTCTCCCCCTCTATTCTGCTCTTGTGAGACCCTACCTGCAGTCCAGGTCTGGTGCCCCCAGCACAATAAAGACATGGAGCTGTTGGAACAAGTCCAGAGGCCACTAAGTTGATTATGGGGCTGGAGCCCCTCTGCTCTGGAGCCATGCTGGGAGAGTATGGGCTGTTCAGCCCCAAGAAGAGAAGGCTCCAGGGAGACCTCAGAGCCCCTCCTAGTGTCCAGAGGGGCTCCAAGAAAGCTGGAGAAGGACTTTGGATGAGGGCCTGGAGGGACAGGACAAGAGAGAATGGCTTCACACTGCCAGAGGGCAGGGTTAGCTGGGATATTGGGAAGGAATTCTTCCCGTTGAGGGTGGAAGGCCCTGGCCCAGGTTGCCCAGAGAAGCTGTGGCTGCCCCTGCATCCCTGGAAGTGTCCAAGGCCATGTTGGACGGGGCTTGAATCAATGTGGGATAGTGGAAGGTGTCCCTGCACGTGGCAGATGGTGGGAGCTAGATGATCTTTAAGGTCCTTTCCATCCCAAACCATTCTATGATTCTATGACTCCAGCTCCGTTCCCTTCCCTGGACACGCTCCAGCCCCTCAGTGTCTCTCTTCCATAAGGTTCCAGAACTGGACACAGCACTTGAGGGGCTTCAGCAGTGGGAGACCAGCACAGGGAGACAATTCCTGCCCTGGGCCTGTGCCCACACTATGGTTGGTACCAGCCACGTGCCACCGGCCTTCTTGTCCACCTGGGCTCATGTTCAGCCCCTGTCAATCAACACTTTCAGGTCCTTTTCCAGCTTTCCAGTCACTCTGCCCCCAATCTGGAGCACTGCATGGAGTTGTGGTGATCGAAGAGCAGGACCCAGCATTTAGAATTCAGAACCTTCAGATCTCTGTAACTGCCAGCATCACTGTGCTCAGACACCACTTTTTCTAGACATTCTTTCACTTTTAGCACAAAGGTATCTCCCTTACACTTGCCATCAGCGTGGGAACTCACCCCATCTTTTATCAGGATGTTTCTTTGTCACACAGCCAGCTTTCCAGCAGCCTGCATGCTTACTGAGCACATGGAAATTTCTCAGGCGACAGTGTTGTCCATCCTCCTCCCCAAAGCCTCCAGTGGTGAGAATCACATCGGGTTTTATAAGAACAGAGCGGTGACCGTAACGTCTCAGGCCAGGAATTCCTGAGAGCCTTGCACACACTGCTGCAGGGACACTCCCAGCCATTCCAACAGGAGCAGCACGATGAGGAACTGGAAGACAAAGAGAACCAAAGAACTTATGCACAAACACAAACCAAGTGAGAGATAATGCACGCCATCTTTTCAAAATGATCTTTTCGAGAAGCAAAAATTGAGAAGCAAGTTGACAGAGCACACAGACAATCTGACATGCCCTAGAAATCAGGCTGTAATGGTTAAAACTATCACTGTGCCAACTTTAACTTCTACTTACTGCTCACTCAGCTCCTTACAGTTCTGAGACTGCTTTCATGGGGTGGAGGTAAGACTGGCCAAGAGCCTGCAGTGTCCTAAGCTGCTGCAGCAAGATATGAACCACTGCAATGCCTTCAAAAGGAGCACCTGTCTGGTTAAGACAATATTTGGCTACATGAATGGCAAAGAACAGCAGAAAAAGGACAAAAGCCAGGAAGCTGATTTCAAAGTTTCTTGCTAGATTTTGATCCTACCTTCACAAAGCATTGAAATAAAGTTCTGAAGCATGACAAATGATCTACATTAATTCCAATGGTCCTACTATAAGCGAATATTTCCAGTTATCTAAATACCTTCTCTCTAAATACTATACCCCTTAACACAAAACAAACTCTCAGCACAGGACTCTGGCTCACCAACACATTGTACACGTTGTTTTCTTTTAATCAGTTTGGAATTTGCATCTTCTGTGATTTAATCAAGAGCTTTATTCTTCTGTTATTAGAGATGATGAGGTGAAGGAGAAGTGGCTCTCAGTCCATTTTTTGTATGCCATATTCAGAAAAATTGCCTGTACTGAACATTGTTTACTACTTTATCATTTGATGAAGTAAGAAATTTAATCTCCTTGGGCTTAAATGTGTTTCTAAAGATGGATCTTTTTAAGACTGAGGAGTCTTTTCATATCAGAAAATATATTTACCATGATCTGTTTCGAAGATTTAGTACTTGCACTCTCTTGAACAGGGACTCAAATCTACCCAAGAGGATAACTGGGGTCATTTACTGGTGTTAGAGACATACCTTTTGCATTCACAGTAAAAAATATCTAATCGTGAACATTTATCAGACTTGGAAGGCTTTTGCTATCAGATTTGAATACAACAGGGACAGCAACAGAAAGACTCTACTTCTGTCTCTAATGAATCAAGCGTCTTGACTGCAATAAAGTCCATTAAGCAAAGGGACTTTACCTTAAGGATAGATACTACACATTTAGGAGCCTTTAAGGATTTAAAGCCTCACAAGGACCAGTGACAATCGCACAGTATATGTAACCACACGCACATTCATGTAGCTTCAATTTCACATTTCATGTTTTCAGATCTAATCAAGACACGGTACTTTGGATTCAGTGGCCTTGCTGGTCTCAGAAATGCCATCCTGCCCTATCCTTTTTCAGCTGCTTTTCTTGCTCCCTAAAACACAGACTTCAGCTTTCTGTTGCAGACAGAACTACTTGTGGTACCCATCTGTGAAGACTAGTGATATGAAACAGGTTAAAAATAACCTTCTGCTTTCCACCCTGAAAAAGGAAGAAAGCAGCTAAAAGCAGGAATTTTTTGGACTGCTACTGCTGCCAAATCCTTATCATGGAAACAGAGTCTTGGTCTTGGCTTTTCCCCAGCTGTACCACTTTTCTCCCATCTAAAAAAAGTGACATACAGATTTAAAAGCATTTCACAAACAGAAATACTACAGGAACAATTCCACCCACATGGGATAACAAAGCAAAGCACAGCTTCATGACAGGCTCCCGAGTGCTCTGCTGGACAGGGTAGTAAGGAAAACAGAACAACCTTTTGGGAGCCAGAAGGAGAGAATGGTTCAGAGAGCCATGTATGGAGGCAAGCAGGAATAACTTCAAAGGGGAGATCCCAAAAACAGCAGGAAGAGCAGGGTGGGCTGCATGTATGGGGTGGGGGGGGCTATGTATAAACAGAAGGAGGTGCTGTTCAGACTGAAAAGCTCAATAAACTGAAAGAATGGAACTGATCAGAACCAGCAGTGTCAGGCTGTGGCCCTGAACAGTATTTTTAAAAGGGTGGAGAAAGCTACCAGACAGCAGCATCCCATCTGCCCCTTCCAGAGCTTCACTGTCACCTAAAACCTCTCAGAGAATAACCTGCATGAGATAAAAAAATACTGCAAAAATTAGCTGGACTGTACCTGTCACACTGGGTAACAAGGGAGTCCAGGAAGGTTCCATCCCCTTTGATGCAGTCAACACAAAGTAATGAGAACATTTCAGATGCCATTCCTGTAGCAAGTCCAAAAGAAAAAAAAAACAAAACCATAAAACAATCCCCCTCAAAATCTTAGAGCAAGAAGAAGTAAGGATCTTGGAACAGCCAGGGTGATCAAATCAAATACCAACCCAGTCTTGCACTGTTTCCAACAGGGGTCAAAATCAGAGTCTAAGGCTGAATCTGAGAAAGAGAAGGTGTGTAAACACATTCCTCGCTTCAATCTTCAAAATTTACAGCTCAGTGATCTTCTAAGCAAGAAGCTGTGTCTTTTTATTGAACAATCCTTGATGGATTTCTCATCCATGAACGCGTCCACTTGCTCTTTGAACTCACATAAACTTTTAACATGTCCAACATGCTGTAAGGTGTTGTTCCTACATGCTGTAGGAACGAGTTCCATAGCTTAACTATAAGTTGCATGAGGAAGCTTTTCTTTTTGGAATCAGCTTCCCTTTATGCTTCCCAATTCTGATCACAGAAAGAGTGAGGGCTCTATATCAGAAGGATTAAGGTTTCTTAAGGTTCATGGAATATAAGTGATTCCAAAGAAATCACAAATGCTCAGACATGCAACATGGTCTGTGCTGAATGATAATACAGAAACATAATTTTCAGTCTGGCCTTGGAATCATTCTGAGGCAGAAGCACTCACAGGAACATACAGGAAGTCAGTAGCAATGTTAGTGTCCACCCTGGCCTTTATGGACATTAGGGAATTGATTACGTCCATTCCCATGGGGTGGGATATATTCAGCCAACTATACAACTACAAAGCATAAACATGAATTTAAAAGGCAAAATAAACCCCATTATCAGCATCATTGCCCCAGCCTCTACTAGAAGTAAAAAGCATCTTTTGAAAAGTGGTATCCAGAAATTAATGTAAATACTGAAAATGGAAGGATCCACTATTAGTCCCTAGGCAAATTATTCCAAAAATGTCTCCCTCAGCACTAAGTCTGTAGTTTACATTTCTTACCTAATTTGACCAAGCTTGTTTACAGTAAGACCTGGATCTTACTTAATCTTTCTCTCAAAGGCTAATTGTAGAGCTCTCTGTTATCACATCATTTATTCTCATGCATGTTTCCAACAACAATACCAAGTCTTTACCTTCCCACTGTATGAGCAATGGCCTTGATCTACAACAATTCTTGTACACATTTCTAAACCACTTTGCAAATCTACCAGCTCTTTCAGTCATTACTTTTGCATTCATGTAGCAGAGCAGATCCTGCATGTTGGCAAAATAAATGCAAGCATGTTAGATTATTTTCATACTGCAGCAATTAGATTTCTAGAATTATAAGCAGGAAACCACAAAATCAAAAGGGAAACTTCTAGTAAGCATTTCACAGTATTCACAGAATACTTAGCTCAAAGTTACTCACTATCTTGCACTTACCTTCACTTCTAGATTTCAAATAGTCAGAAACTTTGCCAGCAGTTAACATAAAAATGGCAAAGAATAAAGTCATAGTTGAATTTCAATCATTAATACAGGAATGGCTGTACAAAGTCAGACCAAAAAATATCTGCAGTAGCCTGTATCCGACAATGACAAAATATAAAGTAGTCTACAGAAATGGAAAAGAGCAGGACAAGTGCATCTACTTTCCCCAAGAATGCTACCAACCACTTGCAGTCAGGAACCTCACATCAGGTGTGGTTTTATGTAGTCAGTAATCCTTAATGTATAATCCTTAATGTATTTCTCTTTCATCAAAGTAATTGCCCCTTGAATCCACGCAAACTTTTAGCATCTAAAACATCTTTCATACTACCAGCTGGTTTGCTATGGCAAGACTGTCTCCTTGAGAGATCACTCACTGAGGAATGAACATAAAGCTTTTCTAACATCAAGGAGAGCCTTCTTCCCATGCTCCTTGCCCCAGCTTTATCTGGAGCTCCCTGCAGCCTCTGTGTTAACCAAGCTAGACCAGGGTCCTTTCTGCCTCCATGAACACCTGTGCCCCAGCAGCCCTGTACAGAACTGTGACCATGAGAAACTGCAGACACCTTATGGCATCAAAACCAAGTTGCTCATCTTTAGAATAAAGGAGAATTACCTCATACTCATCAAAAGGCTCCAGAACCTGCACTCTTTGCTGTTCGTCTTCTGGAATACAACAGGTGAAAAACTCATTCATATCCATGACACTGCACTCAGTCCAGCCCTAAAAGAGAAATCCTTCAAAGTAATCACCTCTGGAAAGACAGAAACTCACTTCCCATAAGAAAATAAAGACCCCAAACTAAACACTTGCATGAGCTGTTAAGACTGTCTAGCTGAAGTAACAGCAGCCCAAAATCTGGTGAAAATAGATTTCTTATCTCTAAAGCTCTTAAGAACTTAATTTATTACAACAAAAGTCTCAGAGGAACTCATCATGCCTTAATCCTGTATCAGAAAGTAAGCTGCAAGCTGGTTGGAAGCATTTTCAAATGACTAGTCATGCTACTAGAGAAGGCAGTGCCTCAGCCTCAGCCCTGTTTCTTCAACCTGTCACTGACCAAGCACTCAGAGTTCCAATCTTTATCAGGTCAGTCATGCTTTGTGCACGCCCTAGAGAAGCAGGTGCTTACCCTCCCCAAAAAGCGCCTCTGCTGTGCCTCACAGTCAGGGTACTGTGCCAGAGAGCGAAGTGCAGAGTTCAGTTGGCTGAAATGCTGCTGCATGACACGGCCAAAGGGGTCCTCTGGGTGCACCTGCTCGTACAGCAGGAAGCAGGCCCGAGGGAAACGCTCTGCTGCCCACTGAATCAAGGCATCTGACCTGTGGGGAGGCTGTGTGTAAGACATTAAATAACTGAGGGCTCCCCCATCACCACACAGATGCAGTACATCTTCCTTCAACACCACGAAGCTGCTACTGAGGCATCCTGACAAATGGCAATACACAAATGAGAGTGCTGTACTGGGGACGTAGGAGCATCTCCTCCCCATCTGCACAGACAATGAGGGGATGAGAAGAACAAAAAAATTCTCTGAGAGAACAAAATCACTCATTTGAGATTTTTCTTTTTTCTTCCCTCCCTTTTAGGATATCACAGGGACATCAATTACACCATCACAGTGATGATATAAGGAGCTATTTGGGACTCCACAGAATTCCCAAGGCTTTAGTTTTAAGAGAGCAGGTCTCCCAGCCCAAGGTGATGGATACGGGAGGAGAACCCAACTGACCTGCTGTTCTCCATGTAGGTGAGCACCACCTCTGCAATGAAGAGGGTGGGGATTTCATTGTCCAGTCCTGCTTCCTCCAGGGCTCTCCCCAGCTCAGACAGCTCTGACAAATCCACTCCCAGTAATTTATAATCCTCTCCAGAAAAGGTAATGGCTCCTGGGAGACAAAAACGATGCAATCTCACTACAGTGTTGCTGCAATAATGAAAGCAAAAGGGACAAACAGGAAAATAAAACCCACAGGCAATCACTCATAAGACGGTGTCTATCAACTCTATTTCCCTGGGACATGTACAGGAAAATCCCCATTACTACCTGAACCACGAAGGGATAGTGCCAAATGATCCATTAAATGCAGATCTAAAACTCTGTTATTCCTGATGCAAATTTCACCTACAGATTTCTCATAGAATTATTACATTTACTATAACAACAAAACTTCATCATATTTACTTTAAGAACTTTTTTCTAGAACCTTAAGGACTCTCATTTATACGCCTTTCAGTTTAGGCTAAGAAAGCACCATCGTTTTGATTGAATTCAAATGGTTCGCCTCACAACCAGAAAACTCTTCTCAAGTTTCTTAGGCTTGGTTTGCTAAATAGATTTCACTTCTGTACAATGGCACTGAATCCTGAACTCACACATGCCAGCTCTGCAAACACCAGGCCCTGACTCACAGATCATCATCTTCACAAGTTCCAGTTTATGATCTGCAAGTATTATCATACCTCTGTACTCCACCAGAATATGATAAGCTATGGTTTGTTGACCTTTTCAACCAAAACCCAGTCATTAACAAAGCAACTTTCAACCATTGCCCCTTGACTGTTTGCTTTGTGCCTCCAAGAAAAGTCTGGCTCCAACTTTTCTACCCTCTCCCAACAGGTAGCTGAAGACTGCAGTAGGATTCACCTCCCTTGCAACCTCCTCCCCTTAAGGCTAAACAAATCCAATTGTCTCAGCTCCCCTCCAACATCACCTGCTCCATCATTTCATCACCCTCATCACCTCCCACTGGACATGCTGAAGTTTGCCACTGTCTTTGTACCAATGAGCTCAAACCTGGACACAGGACTTCAGAAATTGCAACAGAAAGAAACGGATCTTGGTTTGATACAATCAGCTCCTGACAAATCCACCCTGGCAACTTCTTGTTATCTCCAAATGCTTAAAAATTCTTTGTTTCAATGTTTTTCATAAAATAAACATGCGTTTCATTTCCAGCTTCATAGTTCCCCCACTATCATCTCTCATTTTTTGAAAGCTGAAGGTATGTTTGC